CTGGTTAAGAGTTTGTTCTGATGGAATGCAGTCATCATGCAAGGTCACAGTTGCAGTGGAAAAGGTGCTTTCTCAGGTAGCAGTCCTAACCACATGAAGTCTTGACACTCAAAGTCCTCATAGACTTTAAGGTCCGAAGGGACCATTATGATCATCTAGTCTGACCTCCCGCATGATGCAGGCCACAAAGCCATCCCAACCCCTTTCCCTTGACTCTGCTGTTGAAGTCCCCAAATCCTGTGGTTTAGAGACTTCAAGTAGCAGAGAATCCTCCAGCTAGCGACCCCTGCCCCATGCTGCGGAGGAAGGTGAAAAACCTCCAGAACCTCTGCCAATCTACCCTGGAGGAAAATTCCTTCCCGACCCCAAATATGGCGATCAGTAGAACCCCGAGCATGTAGGCAAGATTCTCCAGCCAGACCCTCATTGGCCATTGATACTATTTACCAGCGATGGCACGCTGTTCATTTGACTAAAATCACATTATCCCATTAAACCATTCCCTCCATAAACTTATCTAGCTTAATCTTAAAGCCAGACAGGTCCTTCGCCCCCACCGTTTCCCTCGGAAGGCTGTTCCAATATTTCACCCCTCTGACGGTTAGAAACCTTCGTCTAATTCCTCAAACTAGATACTTTTCAATGGGGAGTCAATACAGAGCACAGCATGGGGAGAAGTTTTCATGGTGACCCAGGTTAATAGGATACTGCATTCTGTAGTAATTGGGGCTTCTTTGAGGTATGTTTCAGTCTTAACTTGCAAGAATCAAACAAAGTCATAAATACATAATTAGTGTCCAGGCTTACATCTCATAGGTCATAGTCTATCTAATTTTCTGGACAATCATAAATGAAGTGACCATTGTTTGCCATGGTGGGCATTTGGGCATCCAAAACAGAGCCCAAAACTGCAGACTAATCCAACAAACTGAATGATGTTATAGAAGAGGCAAGTTCTTCAGAGCACTTCCATCTTATTGTAATCTCTATCTTAATTGGATACAGCTTTAGCCTGATGCTTTTCATTCAGGTGATTTTGCTGCCTCTGTATTGAGAAAGATAGTGCTGCTTAGACTGGACTGAAGGAGAGGTCATCTGCATATTGCAGGTACTTCCCTGTTCTCAATAACTCTCACCCAACCTCATACAGATGTTGAGAAACTTGGGAGGACAGAGTCTTACAGGCTTTAGAGGTGGAGGAACAATTACCCACTGTGACCTTCTAAGGTCAGAAAAAGAGGAATGTCATGAGCCATTTAAGGATGGTTGTGGTCACCTATGCAGCTTTTTAGAGCAGACAGGCTTATTTGGGTGATCAACAGTATCAACGATACTAATCAGGATTCATAGATTCTAGAACTGGAAGGGACCTCGAGAGCTCATCGAGTCCAGTCCCCTGCCCGCATGGCAGGACCAAATACTGTCTAGACCATCCCTGATAGACATTTATCTAATCTACTCTTAAATATCTCCGGAGATGGAGATTCCACAACCTACCTAGGCAATTTATTCCAATGTTTAACCACCCTGACAGTTAGGAACTTTTTCGTAATGTCCAACCTAGACCTCCCTTGCTGCAGTTTAAGCCCATTGCTTCCTGTTCTATCCTTAGAGGTTAAGGTGAACAAGTTTTCTCCCTCCTCCTTATGACACCCTTTTAGATACCTGAAAACTGCTATCATGTCCCCTCTCAGTCTTCTCTTTTCCAAACTAAACAGACCCAATTCTTTCAGCCTTCCTTCATAGGTCATGTTCTCAAGACTTTTAATCATTCTTGTTGCTCTTCTCTGGACCCTCTCCAATTTCTCCACATCTTTTTTGAAATGCGATGCCCAGAACTGGACACAATACTCCAGCTGAGGCCTAACCAGAGCAGAGTAGAGCGGAAGAATGACTTCTCGTGTCTTGCTCACAACACATCTGTTAATACATCCCAGAATCATGTTTGCTTTTTTTTGCAACAGTATCACACTGTTGACTCATATTTAGCTTGTGGTCCACTATAACCCCTAGATCCCTTTCTGCCGTATTCCTTCCTAGACAGTCTCTTCCCATTCTGTATGTGTGAAACTGATTGTTCCTTCCTAAGTGGAGCACTTTGCATTTATCTTTGTTAAACTTCATCCTGTTTAACTCAGACCATTTCTCCAATTTGTCCAGATCATTTTGAATTATCTGTCACCCTGTCCTCCAAAGCAGTTGCAATCCCTCCCAGTTTGGTATCATCCGCAAACTTAATAAGCGTACTTTCTATGCCAATATCTAAGTTGTTAATGAAGATATTGAACAGAGCCGGTCCCAAAACAGACAGACCCCTGCAGAACACCACTCATTATGCCTTTCT